CTACAGAAGGAATAATTTGGCTTTAGATACCATCAACTGCTACAGAAGGAATAATTTGGCTTCAGATACCATCAACACATTTGCTCCACTGATTTTTGTTGTTGTTTGTCATTGCTTGGAAATTTTAAAATTTTAGAATTCATTGTCAGTAGTAACTCTTTGTTGTTTTTCAATCTTGTATGTGAAACAGCTAATTATGTGCACTTATGCCTCAAATAATAATCATCTTTCAGGATCCCCATTTTGGTGTCTATTAGACATTGTTCCAATCAAGAACGAGAAAGGCAATGTGGTGCTTTTTCTCGCTTCACATAAAGATATCACTAAGAGGAAGATAAGTGGAGAAGTCCCTCAACAGGATGTGGGTATGAAAACTATACACCAGTGCAAGAGCCTCTTCAAATGAAACTGGTATCCCCTGGCCAGAATATACCTCGTAAAAATTTTTTATTTTTTTTCGTAATAGAGCTACTGAGACCTCACGGAGTGGGTAGAGGGGGGTGATGAACAATCTATTTTTCCCAGGAAGAACACCCAAGCACCGTTGGTCAGAGAAATACAAAAAGGTCACAGTTACCTCGACCAAAGTCGAATTTCTCATGGCAAATAATAACCGTTCTGAAATGTAAGAGTGATAATGGGGCTGAAAATGTATGGAATAAAGGATGGGCAAAGTTTACTTCTCTAACAGCCACACTGTTTACTGGGTTTAAAGAAGAGGCCCTTGATACTTGGCCATACCACCGATATATAAGAACATGTACATAACGAAAGGGTTGGCGGGAACTGTTAATCAAAGTGGAAGCCGTTTACTTAGACGTAATTACTTAACAGGAAAGGAAAAAGCATGATTCAAAAGTTATCTGCAGTTACTTTCGTTCTTAGAGATAAATCTCAGTGCTCGTCTTCATTAATCCGGACAAAACTATTTAGCTTTGCACCCGTCAGATAACTGTTTTGGTTGGTCATGGTGGAGATTATTGATACATATAAACCTTTGAGCCACCAAAAATACTACATAGAGATGATACTTGCCTATTCGTTAGGATCATGACTTGTAGAATCTCTCAGACTACGTCCAGTCCAAATGTAACTCTAAGTTTATCGGCTCTTTTGTCTGCCATGATGGTTTTGTGGAAACTCCGCTGACAAGCTTATTTTTACGCAAAGATAAACTCCGACCGGACTTAAATCGGATTGGACAGGATTTGGTCTGGTTTCGAAATTTTTTAATCGGCTCCGTCTCACATATAATCCAATCAAACACAGTGGCTCCTCAAAATTAAACAGAAACTCCGTTATTCGCCGGGATTCTAAGATCAGATGAAAATATCACTGACTTTTTTTTTTTGTTCATGTGTTTGTTTGTTTGCTTCTTCAGCTTCTATTTCGGGTGGGACTGAAAAGCTGAGCAGATCTCGTTCCAGAAATTTCAGCAGAGATGTTCTTCTTCACTTGTCAAGACAATACGCGCAGAGTGCTGGTCCTGCAAACAAAGCGAATCCACGAAGTCCCATCAAGAGAGCCCGAGTGAGTAGAGTACAATTCCCGCTAGTAAATAACTCTTTCTATCCGTGGTCAATGTCCAAGCTTTAGCGCGACGTGAGAATTGACCTACCAAAGAGAATGGGGGACGGGTGGGAGGGGTGAATGGGATCAAAGAAACACTTTGTACTTTTTCGGAAAGAAAGCGGTGGAGATAACATTACAACAGAAATATTCACCAAATGGAAGGGAATAAAGCAGTGACATCAGTAAAAGTAACAAAACGCATCTTTGAATAAGTCCGATACTACAAATGAAAAACTTAATTTCTTTAAAAAAAAATCTATTTGAATCAAGTATCTGACCAACTGCGTACACCCCCCTCCCATAACCCAACTATAGTCAACTGAAAACAAGCTCGGGTTAAAAATCGTGTTTGGGGAGGGGTAGGTGCGCAGTAGCTCTGGTACTAAAACTGGTCAGTCTCTTCAAAGCAAACTAATATGAATGCATAAGTTCTCTCACTGAGCACAAGCTTTCCGCCTTGTTCCGTTAGTAAACTTTTTAATTCTCTCCTTGCAGTCTTTTTCGTTTAATTCCGAGCGACTACCTCAATACAAGCGAGAAACTGACAAGAAATCAAAGTTTCTTTTTCTACACTACAGCAACACCAAAGGATTCTGGGATTGGTGGATACTCATCTTGACAACTTATATTGCAATCATGGTCCCTTATAATGTGGCCTTTCGGAGGAACGACCGGAAAAGGGACCTAATTATATTTGATATGGTTATAGAATTATTTTTTATTATGGACATGGTGGTTCACTTTCGAACTTCCTTCGTGGACCCGAGCGGGCGGATTATATATGATCAGAAAAAAATAGCGATTCATTACCTTAAAGGATGGTTCGTTTTGGACTTTCTGGCAGCATTACCGTTCGAGGCTTTGTATTTTGTCAATCAAACTTGGGTAAGTAAACAATCATTGTCAGTTGATAACAATACCATGACCAAACAGGTGCGAAGGAAGCAACCTCCTTCCCTGAGCCAGGTCCTCTGCAAGCTACAGTCAAAAACAGCGTGAGTATTATCAAAAGCAAAAAGAGGAGAGATAAGAACTCAGGTATAAAGCTCATGATTTATCAACGATAAAACAGCCTGTAAATAGAAATCCTTCTAACTATAGAGTGTTCTCAAGAAAAATGTCTGATTTCAGGACATGAGAGGTTCTGTCTTCTTTCTAAAACAACCGTTGTTCAAGATCTTTTGAAGACCAATGTTTGATTGAAGCAATAATTCAGTATAAACAACCTCCCACTCACCGCCCCTCCTCCTTCCCAAAGAAAAAAGGAAAAAAGAAAAAAGAAATTTTTTCCAGTTTAAGTAACTATTAATCGGTCGGCAGAGATTCACGTTGCGTGAACGACAGAGCGTTGCGTGACGATAGCAAACAACAGCTGCGTGTATCACATTGAAAATGCTTTTAAACAGGGTCCACCTAAACCAAAACGTGGCTTTCAGCAGTGGTCAAACAATACTGAATATTAACTAGGCAAAACTCACTTTAACTGTTGTTTCTTGTAAATGTAACTAGTATACAACTTGACTTTAAAAATTAATTGTTTCTAAAATCGGACTGACAAAGCTGTAAAAGCATTGCTATTGCTTTTAACCACCTAATAATACTCGAAACATGACCACAATTAGATGGAAATGTTCATCGTTCTCTCTGTTCATTTCAATTCACAACGTGCAACCTTGTTCCCAGGGCCTTTTCCCGCCCCGCCTCCAACTCCACCCCCAACTAAGGAAAAAGGCCCTGGGAACGAGGTTGCATAACGTGTTATTTTAATTCCACGAAATTGCACTACTGATCATCCTGGCTAATTACCCTTAATAGTCCATTTTAATACACTACTACATTGTTTCATTTAGCTATCTCTTTCTTTATATTCTTTTCCTTTCTCTTTTCATTATCTAGGCACATTCCATTGATAGAAAAGGCTCTTCATTCAACGAGGTACTGCTTAGATAAATTAAGAATATGTACATTTTATTTCAAGTCTAAAAGTTTCAGTTTTCGCTTTAAATTAGGGCTCTATTGACTAGGTTTTTTAAAATACGTGTAAACCTCTGTTGCCTTTTTCCTCTTAATCTGAATGTTTTCTACTTTTTCTGACTAAAAGTAGATTTTGATTAATTTCTCAATTTAACCTAATCGTGACAGTATTTTGGCTGACTCGTTCTCAGTCGTCACCAAAATGTGCGCGACAGTGACGTTGGGGTAGAAAGGGGTGACCGGAAAAAGGAGGAGAATCACTTTCACCTCATCGTGGCTGCACCATTGTTGCCTCCGCTTTGAAAGACGACTTGAGACAGGTCACCTCTCTTGGTAATTGCTCGCATTTCCCCATAAGGGATAAAGTAACCGTCGGTTTTCTCATCTCTGACTTTAAAACAAGCTCTAAAATTTGAATGACTCGTATATTAATCGATTAGGATCTTAAGTTGAATACTTGGGATCATTGTTATTAACTGAGCAACTGCACACCTACCTACCCATCCCCTAAACTAACAACAGACAATTGATAACAAGTTACGGTCAGCTCTAGTAATAACAAGTCAAAGTTTAAGTTTAGTTCGGGAAGGGGTAGGTGCGCAGTTGCAGTGCGTGCATTGATCCAATACTTGCTTCAGCGCGTTACGACTTTATTTATTTTTTTTTTCTTATTCAGTTTCCATAAGAATCTCGACCAGATCAAAGTTACAGCACAATAAAGTACAATTTTAAAAGTAAAAATATTAACAGATTGGCGGAAAGGTTTACCCTGTAAAATTCAGCCCATCAGAGTGAAAAATCTCTGAGTATCGATAAGGTCAAACGCTAACGGACTCTTTCTCTGAATCAACAGGGTTTTTTGATTCAACTTCTTAAATGCGGGCGCCTTCTTCGACTCTTTCGCGTGGTCCGTAAGCTCCACCGCTACACTGAATACAGTGCTATACTTTTGACTCTCCTTATGATAGCATTTGCAATGATGGCTCATTGGCTGGCCTGTATCTGGTATGTGATTGGTTTATCTGAAATCTCAGAAAATTCAACCGTAAGTTGGCTGTATGCGCTTGGCGAGGCAATCAACAAACCTTACGTGAATTTTACGGCGGAGACTGGACCCGACGAAGGGTCTGCTTACGTCACCGCTTTGTATTTTACGCTGACCAGTATGACCACGGTCGGATTTGGTAACGTGGCGGCAAATACGAATGGAGAAAAAGTGTTTGCTGTTGTTACAATGCTAATTGGAGGTTAGTTGTAAGTATAATAGTATACATCATGAAAACGAGGCAAGCGTGGGGAACGAAAAGCGTTAGAAAGGAGCAAGGATTACATTCCCTTTGTTTACTTCCTTTACCCACCCGTCTTTTTCTCGTCACTACTAATCGAGAGACGGGAATATACGACTTCCGCGAGCAAGCGCTGCCTGTGAAATAGAAGGAGGTTAATTATCCACTTATTTGTATAGGTAATCATAATATACTATTTCGAATCATTTTGGAATGAAAACGCACCGCACGAGTCCGTGTAACTTTTTCAAAGGCTAAGATATCGTACAAGTTCGTAAGGCGAGCAAAGTTTGTAGTCTTTGAAAAAGTTAGACTGCTTCTAGGTAACAGACAGTTTATTTTCAACGTTTTGCATTCAATTTTAACCTTACGCGCTATAGTTTGCAATTGACGTGCTCGCAACCAATAGAAAAACTGAAATGTTGTTTGCATGTTATAACTAACATTCTGAGAAGCATTCAAAAGCCGATGATGCCTCGCGAGCAGAAAACTGCATTCAAGTTCTAAAAGCAATATATTTATGGTTTGAACAAACTGGATGGGGATTAAAATCGAATGACTGAAAACTAGTGAACTTAGAGACCACGCGTAGTGGCTGTATTTCTCTTTTGCGTTAAGATTGCCCACCGTACGACGTGAAAACTTTAAACCCTCAGCTGTAATTAATCATAGATAAACGATAACCCCTTTATATTTTTTTCAGCATTGATGCATGCCGCCATATTTGGAAATGTAGCCGCTATCATTCAAAAGCTCTACGCCAATCGAGTTCGTTACCATTCCCGCGCGAACGAAATCAAACAGTTCATCCGAGTTCACAGAATTGATCAAGATTTAGCCAATAGGCTTGAAGATTATTTTCACACCACGTGGTCTCTTTCCGGAGGTGTCGATACCAGCGAGGTATGTAAAGAATGTTAAAAAACCTAGAGCAGTTATCAAGTCATATCCTCGTTTCATTCTCGTGTGTGGATAAAAAGTTTGGTTTAAATTTATTTTCTTTGTAAAAATTGAATTGCAGAAAGTGTTAAACAAAGCTAATTTTATAAATGCTGCTTCTAAAATTAAGCAACAAAACCAAAATCGCTATAATGATTATAAGTTTTTCAAGGTCGATCACATGTGTTATATCTTCATGCGATTAAGAGCATAGCTGACAATTTCTAGCCTGTTCCAGACATATAGCAAGTAAAACGAAGCGCTATGGTAAACGGTGGAATTATAGCGGAGGTAGGAAGAAACGAAAGAGGCTTGGGTCGAGTTTGGGTCCACGTGACCCGAGCCAAACCTCTCGTTTTTCGCTCTGCCGCTAATTTTCGCGCCGTTTACTATTTCGCACGGATTTTGCACCGTTATACTTGCTGCCTGATGCCTCTGCTTTTCGTTGTTCACGTTTGTACTCTCTTTTTCAACTCAATATCTCTTTTGAGAAAAAAAAAGTACTTTTTGATTTTCTGCTGATTCTTCTCAGATTCTCACCACGTTTCCGGAAGAACTTCAGTCAGACGTGTGCATGCATCTGTACAAAGGCCTATTAGAGCTCAGCCCTTTTAACCAGGCCCCGCGCGGCTGTCTTAAAATGCTCTCGCCCCAGGTCCGTACCGTTTATGTTGGGCCAGGCGAGGTGCTTTTGGCTCAAAATGATGTCATCAACGCCATTTATTACATTGCTAACGGGTCAATGGAGGTGTTACAAGGAGAATCTGTGGCAGCCATTCTGGGTAAGTGTGACGATGCTTTACATAAATGCTGCTAGTAGATACACGAAAACGCTACTAAATGTCGATTAGCAAAGTGTTAAGAACTTTGTGAACAAAAGGCACACCAAAGAAACAAGCCAAGCCAATTCTACAACTGATCTGATTGAATAGTTCTGATAATTGAACAGCTATTTCTTTGAATGCACCGATTTTGCCGATCAGGTTTTAATAATAGGTACCTGGTAATAGTTTCTTCGTGAACACAGCAATGTTTATCGGAATAAAATAACCTTTCTGAATAATTAAAATCATCGTGTCAAAAGCAACACCGTAAATGAAACTTTTGTTACAATATTACATTATTGTTCAATTGCATTATTAAGAGAAACCATTCTTTTTGAGAAATATTTTCCAAAGATCACAATTTTTTTGTCCGTTATGTAAATATATATCTCTCTGGCGAGTCGCCTCTGCAACGAGATTTGTGTGCGCGAAAAACATTAGCATGTAGTGTTACACCTGAGTAAACTTGAACTGGATCTTTTTGTTTGTGGTTAGAAGTTTGCAAAATGAAAATATTTTCAATATGCATGTGTGGTCCTAAAAGTGCAAGTAGGGAGCTCTCGCGCGAAAAAAAGACGTTTCAAATCTCTTTGGAAGTAGATATCCTGAACTTTTTTTAAAATTAATACTGTACTCACTAAAAATTACGTGGGTCAACACAAGTATTCGCTTTTAACTTGTTAAGTGGTAGGAAAAAAAAAAAAAAGAACAAGAATCTTAGCGTGCGTAAGCAATTTCACGCGGAATCGAGTGTTACCTGTCGAACACAGCTACTTTTTGAAATTTTTCTTCAAATTCAGTAGATTTAATTTGTTTGGAGTTTGGTAAGCTGGGATAGAGAACAGATATGTTTTACAAATGCTGACGCAACACGCTTAAACTCAGTAGAATCATAACTATAATTATCGTAATTTTAAATGCTAATGAAAACTTTCTGATCAGGCCATACGACACTTGACAACGAGAACAATACATGTCATGTCTGGTAACCAAAACAAACAGTGCTGAACGAACATACTAAAATTAATTTGAAAGTGAAAATATAATGGTGAAAATGTCTCTCTTTAAGCAGTGTGCGAAGTAAAATTTACACTTCAATTCGAATAAAGCAAATCAAACATTTTCCCACTATTTTTCAAGCCACCACGACAGTTAATTCGTGATATTTTTCCGCTTGAGTGAACAGGTGTTTTTATAGGCGCCATCTTGAATTTTAAACACGTAGTCTATGAGATCGCCCATAGATAAAAGCAAGCACCTCGATGCGGTTCCGCTTTCATCTGCTCAACACATGAAAGAGATGACGTCGTAAATTTGAGTCAATTTTTCATTTTCTTTCGGCCATGGCTAATCGTTTTAGACAATTTCGTTTGCTTCTATGGAAAAACTTCATTTTACAGGTTTGTATTGCAGTGACTTTCTTCCTGAAGTGAAATCTGCATGCGGCTACGTACAAATTAATTTCTAGCGCTCACTGGTTTCCCTTCAGTTGCTGCTCAAACAACGTATAATACTGTCTTTGCATTTCTTTTTGTAGATTCGTCGGCCGATAGGCACAGTGTTCGAGCTGTTATTGCCTGTTCTTTTCATAGCAGTTTTAATTCTACCGAAGTAAGTTGCTACAGTAGGCATTCTCAGAAACATTACGTAATTCATATTTGCTGTCGATTTTTGTTTGAAAAGGAAGTAGGAAAACATTCTTTAACGGAGCGATACATGAAAGCACAGCTGAACAAGTCAATTTGAAAATGAACGAGTAATATTTTATATACATTGCGATCGGCGAATCTAGTTGTTGATTGACAAACCGGCACGAAACTGTGGGAGAATTTATTACTTAGAAAAAA